TCCAATCTTGCTCAACAAAGCAAATAAAACAACAACAGCAACAACAACAACAACAACAATAACAACAACAACAGCAACGGAAAAAATAAACTACGACAGACCACAAATTCGATTAGGCCTATGCGCCCAGTAAGTGGCTGTTCACAAGGGATTCATAGACTCGTGGCCACAGGCGCAAAGCTTTATGCAACTCCCTGTATTTGTACGCAAATAATTATTGATTACTTCCCCTGTCCTCTTGTGTTCTCTGTGATTGGGAACATGATTATGGAGATAAAGGGGAGGGAATCCCATCTGGCCATCGGTTGTGCTTGGCAACGACACATTTATTTCATCAACTGAATTGGTCGCTTTTAAGCACAAAGGGGCTATCCCGAAAAATGCTGTTTTGACAAAATCGAAGATCAAGTTTCTTTCCCCTTCTTCAGTTTCTTTTAAAAGACAAGGAGAGTTTTCTCGATAACCAAACAAATATCCACACCGATGAAACCAAACTTCTCCAATAGGTTGGCGCACTTCCCACTTTTGGTGTAGGTCAAGATTTCTGGAAACCCCCGAAATCTGAGTTAGCCCGCTTGTCCTTAAAAGCGACCTTTTATTTAATTAACTGGATATCCAGGTTAACTATTGGAAATAACTGGATAAAAGCAGGCGTACCTGGATTTCACACTTGCTCAACCCCCACTTGTCTCCCTCTAGATTTACTGCTGGTTGATATATTTCATCCAAACCAGTTTAAATATTATATTAAAGTGGGTGGTTGGCGGGTGCTCTGGTTTGATTTGCTCCTTCTTTCTAATCAAACATCTATAGTATTTATCTCCCCTCCTTTCTGTGTTCGTTACTCCCTTGTAACACCTCTAATCTTACATGACCTTACTGTGTTGCAAGTGCCGTAAAGCTCTAACGAAAAAAACGTTTTAAATTAAAGAATGGCTCTCGGGAATTTCCGAATATTACGCTTGTGTGAAGAGATGGGTACAATTACATAAAGCCCCTGTTCTGAAGTTGTTGTTATAAATTCCACATTTCGCTATTGATTTTTAGTACACCTCATACTTTTGTATAACGTTTCATTAGGCAGTAGATTTATACCACGATTCCTCTCTCTACATTTATTTACATTACATTTTTACCTCTTCTTGATATTACAATAAATTGTCGCTTTTAAGGACAAGCGGGCTAGCCCAGATTTCGGGAGCTTCCAGAAATTTTGACCTACACCAAAGGTGGGCATTGCCCTACCTCTAGAAGAAATTTGGTTTCTTTGGGGTGTATATTTGTTTGGTTATAGAGAGAACTCTCCTTGTCTTTTAAAAAACTGAGCAAGGGTCCAAAAACTCTACCTTCGATTTTCTCAAAACAGCATTTTCCGGGATAGCCGCTTAGTCCTCAAAAGTGACCAGTTACATAAAGCTCATCTGAATTTTGTTGTTAAACATTTCACATTTTGCAATAATTGATTTTTAGTACATCTCATATTTTTGTACCACGTTTCAATAGACAGTATCACAATTCTTAACTACACAACACGTATTTGCTTTACATTTTATTTCTGATCTTGATCTCCTAATATTATATTAATGAATCATGTGTCCAGGGAATTGTATTTTGTTCAGATCTACAGAACAGCTTTTGGCCAAGACTTTGAACGTGTGGAATCATGGAGAGTGTGAGGGAAGCTTACCTAATATCGTCCAACCTGACGGATCAGCTCCTCCTCAACCTGATGGGCGTGGTCATCTGTCTGTACTCACTACAGATCGAGCTGAGGAAGGAGAGGAATCCCGAGTACCGCGCCTACTGCGACATCAACGAGCGCATGAGCTGCTCCAAAGTACTCACGTCCAAGTAAGGAATAACCCTGTGGAGAAGAATACTTACTTTACTTTTTTTTCCGCTTGTACCGGTGTGCGAGGTGTCGCGGGGAGACACAGGCGTCTGTCTGCAGCAAGGCGAGTGGCCTGTAGGAGGGACATCCCATGAGCTCTGAGGGTGTCTGCTACAGATTCACTCCAACGTCGCCTTGGTCTTCCTCTGGCTCTCCAGCCAGAATATTTGATATTATATACCCTCCGAGCTGGTTGGTTTGCAGGCATCCGCGTGAGGTGTCCGAACCACTGGATCTTTTGTCTCTCAATGTGTGGTAGGACTGGTGTTGCTCCTACCGTGTCCCTTATGACTTCATTTTTTATTTTGTCTCTTCTTGTCTTGTTTACCGCGCTTCTTGAACATTAATTCTTCTCGCAAGTGACCAGCTTCCTCTCTAGGGCTTTTGTTAGGGACAATGTCTGGCCCTGATGTGTGAGTGTTGGTAGGAAAATGGTGTTGATGAGCTTCTAGAAGAATACGGTATTTATAAAAGAGTGCGGGTTTAATAAAAAATATTTTTGTGAGTCCATCTCACCCAGATAGAAAGTAAAGGACCCCCTCCCCCCCCCTGCAATAAAGCAACAAGCAAACAAACAACAAAACAAACAATTATTAACGGTTACTAATTTTCATTTGTATAAAACAGCACATTTATGGCCAAATTTGCTAGACTTATGGCTTTCTTACAAACAGAGGGAGTCGATTTTAAAGTGAAAAATTACCCCATAGGCCACGTCAGCCACACGAAGTTTCTCTTCTAACCACTTTGGATTAATTTTTTTATCTTTAAAAAAATATTTAAAAAGTAGATTATTGAGACTGTTATTTCGTGAAATCTTTTTTCTTAGTTGGATCTTAATTTAAGTTGTATCACCTCCCTCCCCACCCACCCCCTCCCCTTTTCTACCTCTCTTTCTGCAGATACAGTCAAGGATTTGGCGTGGTGCATTTACTCCTGGGCAAAAACCACATGTTGAATGCCCGGAACTGCAACGTGGGGCTTGTGGTGTATGTGCTCAATATCATGCTGTGTAAGTTTATCATTGACACAATGTTTTCAACCTTTTCCTTCCCAATCAATGTGACGTAGGTCATTTTAAGTAAGATGCTCGATTTATATTATAGCGAGTACTCGAGTCCACTCTAGTAGATGTATCGGCCTATACTTGAGTAGGCTATCCATATTCTCCTGCAAGTACCCATTCGAGTAATTTTCAGGTATCGTCGAATCTCGATTCTAACTGTTGTCAGCTTCGATGTTTTCAGGTGTCATTCAATCTCGAGGCCAACTGTTGTTAGGCCTAGCCTATCAAAGATTGTACACAACAAGATTGTTCATTAAGCCAAAAAAGTGTCCGTGAAAGTGCGCGCATTGCTTCAGATGGCGCTGCAGTCTTTGTTTTGAAGCTCTCTTTCGTTTCTGCAGAAGAAGAATAGGAATGGCACAGTTTGTTAGTTTCACTTTTTTTTTTTTTGCACAAGTAGGGTAACCCTGTTCTCAAAGTCCTCCCTTTTTTCAAGAGGGCCCCAACCGAATTTTGAGGATACTTTTAAAACCATATCCGTACTTCGTGTTCTACTATAATATTATCCATACGACGTGGGGATCTCTGTGCCACCACTTCCTAACATGACTCGTTAATCCGATCCGTACGCTTTGCATAGCAGTCTGTCAAAATGATTTTTTGAGGAACACCGGTACTTAAAGTTTCAAAGAGATCTTCGCACTACAAGTATTCTCAAATGTCAAGAATACAACCACGGGGGTACAAAGTGACCCCAGGGCGTATGGACAGGGTTAAGTGGCTCCAAGGGAGGAGTGAACATAGTTATCTCCTTTTTAAACCATGTAAATCTATGGGAGTGAACTATCTAGTCATGTTACAGTCTTTGCTTTTATCGACATTGGCGTTTTCATTTTCAGGTATCATGGGCCCGGGCCCACTGACCAGCAGACTGCTGTACTACGGAGCCTTGATCATGGTGCTTGGCTGTGTCTACCTCGCCTGCGTCCTCTTCTTCATCCTCCACGACGTCTGTCTCGTCTGCATCACCACCTACGTCATCAACGGTTGTCTCCTCTATCTAGCTCACAGCACGTACAGCAAGCTGTACCAGTGATGAGGAAGGAATCACTCCCTCCCAACACTGCAACAATAAATGTCAGGAGCGGATGGTCAGAAAATTGATCAAAAAGAAATGTATTTTTGGTTGAATGTAGATGTTTTTGCGCTACAATCGACACCATTTAGATCATTCAGGAAGTGGACTTCGACTCTGGTCAAGAGTCACATTGCCATCAATATCGATGAGCGTAATAATAAAAATAATTATAATAATAATGATAATAATAATGATAATAATAATGATAATAATAAAATAATAATAATAATTCATATGAATAATAATAATAATAATAATAATAATAATAATAATAATAATAATAATAATAATAATAATAATAATAATAATAATAATAATAATAATAATTCATACGAATAGTAATAATAATAATGGTAATAATAATAATAATAAATATGCGCTTAACATATTATTATTATTACCCCAGCAGACCATAGAACCCTCAGGAATATTCTCAGCTTCCTGGGAAGCATACAGTGCAAGCAACTGAGTGAGCGCTCAAACATTAACAAACTGAAAAGACCTTTCGCTGTCTATAGCTGGGTACTCATTCCCATCCGGGTGACGTGAGGAAAATTCTTGTAAAGTGCATTTCCCAAGGACACAGCGTCGGGCCCCTGACGGGATTCGAACTCACAACCTAACGGTTGCCAGTCTGAGAGCCTAACCACTATGCCACCGACACCAGAAAAGTACCTGTGAAAATGTAAACGGGATCAGGATATTTTTGGGGGTGGGCTCAAAGCAATGTTTGTTTGGTCAGACGTCTCTTATTTTTAACACTGCACAAATGACGCACAAAGAGAAAGCTTGAAATCGCAGCTACACTACACGCTGCTTAGGCCTACTTTATTTTTCGACAGTCTTTTTTTCCGTAAGTGTTTTACGGCACTTGCAACACAATAAGGTCGTATACGTGTCGAAGATTAGAGGTGTCACAAGAGAGTAACAAACACAAAAAAGAAGAAGGAGGGGAGATAAAGATGATGGATGTTTGATAGGAAAGAAGAAGCAAATCACACCTTAGCACCCGCCAACCACCCGCACACAGTCTCTGTTGTGAACAGCACAGAGCCGCCAACTCCGGACTACCGTGGGTGGTGCATCCTGTCATCGAAGAAATCAGCAGTTTCGTCTACTCCACAACCGAACTTACTGTGCTCAGGAAGGAAGCTTTGGTACTTTTCTACTATGTTTGAAAAAGTCAAAGTTTTAGTAAGGTTTTACGTCGCTCGCAACTGCGTAAGGTCATATGTATGAAAAGGGATGGACGTCAACAGAGAAGTCCAAATGGGGAATCAGGCTTACTCTTCTCACTTCTCTAGCCTAAACAGCACAAAGTCTGCTTCGACTATCAAGGCACCCCGAATATAGCAGTCCACAAGAGAGTGACAAACATACAGAAGAAATTAAAGAAAAATGACGATAGTAAGGATGAGGAAAGAAAAAGCAGCAGTTCCCCCCATTTTGTTCCGGCACAGTATGAGCATGACATTGATAAATGAGCCCATTTACAATTCTACTGTGCAAAAGAACATGTTTATATCCGCCTTGATAAATCAGCCCATTTACAATTCTACTGTGCAAAAGAACATGTTTATATCCCCCATTTGGGAATGGCCTATAAAGACAACAAGTCACAGTGGTTACCTTTCAGGTTCTCCTGTACAGTGAGAAAAGGAGCGAGTCCGAGGAAGCGAGACCCGGACAGCGGAAAAAACTCTGAATTTTGTGAAGGCACACGTTCAACGTCGTCATGTAGTTGCGGTATCGCATCTTTCCCAGGCCGGCCTGTCATCGCATAGCTTACAGATTATTATGTTAAGTTGCAACATACCATACAGTATAACACAGACAGGTTGAACACAGAAGACTCAAAATCACGCATCCGTCGAACTATGCTTGTGGACCCGTGTTTTTCCCCCTTTTTAATCTTTGTAAGATAATAATAATAATAAATAGCATTCGTATAGCGCATAACCCCGCTCATCAGCAGGCTCTATGCGCTTTACACTATATTATTACCCCAGCAGACCATAGCACACTCTGAAACATTCTCAGCTTCCCGGGAAGCATACAGTGCAAGCAGCTGATTAAACGCTCAAACACTAACAAACTGACAAGATCGTTCACTGTCTATAGCCGAGTACCCATTTCCACCTGGGTGAAGTGAGGAAAATTTGTGCAAAGTGCCTTTCCCAAGGACACAACGTCGGGCCCCTGACGAGATTCGAACCCACGACCTTACGGTTGCGAGTCCGAGAGCCTAACCACTAGGCCACCGACGCCACTACTGAGGCCTATCCCAACGAATTCGAGCTATCCGTGCTATACTTATATTTGACTATTGTTCTGAGTTCACTATAATATTTCCCAGTGTCAGGAACTCGATGTAGACTACGCCTTCTCAACCCTATACAATGATAAGCAGCACTTTTTCTTTCTGAAGCCACTCTGTGGCCGACCACTCTGTGGCCGACCACTCTGTGGCCTACCACTCTGTGGTCTACCACTCTGTGGCCTACCACTCTGTGGCCTAACACTCTGTGGCCTACCAGTGCGCATTTTGGTTGTTCTGATTTATCTCAGTCTTCTAAAATAAACAAAACAACCTTGTCCATCACCTAATGATGCTAACAGCAACACAATTCTCATCATAATATTATAAGAGATAAATGCTTTCATAATGTTTGCCGCTGAACAGCCTTGAGGTGTAAACACAGTGGATACATTTTCGACCCATGTAGTGCACATCTCAGGACTTGTATCGAGAGGTAGTCGAGACGAGAGCAGAATGTAGATCTATTAAGATTGTGTTTAATCTCCCTTCTTCTAATAAAACATTTTACAGAACAAACATAGTCTCCTCTTGGTTACCAATTGCACGCTTTTTCTATTCAAATGCTTGAACATTACAGAATGCCATTCCTACAAATCAATATAAGAAATCCAAGTGAGTGAGTCTTCATCTAAAGTTCAACATTTCATATGTATGGATAGTGTCTATTTAATTTAACTTTTTTTTTCATTTTGAGCAAAGGAAGTATCAAATACACTTATGCTTGTACGACAATGAAGCTAACAGTTACACCAGCCTAGATTAAGAGAGAAATGGCATCCTTAGTAAAAGACAAGGATACCGGGTACTCGATAAAACAAACATCTCCATAAATAAATAAATATGGAAATCGAAATCACATCTTTTGGGCTTCAGTCAGGCAAAGAAAGAGCTACTAAACCACAGACAATGGTAGGTCTACATGTAGTATGGTCATTGTACAAATTTAACACCCCTTTCAACACTGGAAGGTTATTAAAGAGGTGGGACCTCCGAATTTAACATCCATCTCCCACAGGACCAAGCCCATGGTTTTTATTTATTTATATCTTTTGGTAAGTGTTTTACGGCACTCGCAACTGCATTAGCTCATATGAGCGCGTGGGACACATTTAACATTTTCAGTTGGTAGGACATTTCGAATTTTACCCAGGAGGCGGCCGAAGCACACTCTTATCGATTTTAGACCTCCAAGGGATCTTTACCGTGCGCAACTTGCACGCGGGACCTCCGAGATTTTTCGCCCTTGTTGTCCGGGAAGGCTAGGTGTACATCTTTGCTACCAGAAGATCATGGGTGTGGCTGAAAGACAGCAGTAAGAAGAATGAGCCATGGAGTAGCAGTAGAAAGGCTGCAGAAAGAGTCAGGAGCCCAGAGGAGGGGCAAAGGAGGTGAGGGGATGGGGGCAGAAAGTGGAGATGAAAGCAGACGACAGAACATAGCTAGAGAGCAGGAAAGGAGACACTTTTCGACGATTCGAACCCGGGACCTTTGAATGAGAGGCTAACACTTTAACCTGTAGGCCACGAGAGCCCGCGTCCATTTCTTTATAAGAAAGAGACTATTACAAGGGCAAAGGTTGATTTATTGACCTACAATTGAAAATAACTTAGCCCGTGGTAGCGAAGTGGGAAATGAGAACGAGCCTTGGTCTTTCACCTGAGACACTTTTTAGTGCGTGTTGCTGACCTTTCTCAGAAGGCAATATCTCACAGACTATCAAATATTTTCAAATTCTGTAAACAGTAATAGTCCATGTAGTGACTAAACAAATTGTGTGTGAAATATTACAGCGACTGAAGTTGATTTAGTATTTTTTCCGATTATACCAAAACACCTTCACCCTATCTTTTGGTCTCTTTTACTATGGTATCCACACGACGTGGGGAACTCTGTGCCACCCCTTTCCAAAGAGGAAATTTACTCGTTAATCCGATCCGTACGCTTTGCATAGTAGTCTGCTAAATTGATTTTTTTGAGAAATACTGAAAGTTTCAAAGAGATCTTCGCACTAGAAGTACTCTAAAATAAAATGTGAAGAATACAACCTTGGGGGTACAAAATGACCCTAGGACATACGGATAGGGTTAAACCTAGGGCTGGGCAATGAGTCGCTTTAGCAAAAATCCGGATAATATGTTAGTGCACCTCTTCGGCAAATAATATGATATGAACCGCTTCGGCAAATGGGTTAGAATCACTTCGACAAACGAGTTAGCATCACTTCAACACAGTGCACCTACTTCGACAAACGAGTTAGCATCACTTCAACCACTTCAACACAGTGCACCTACTTCGGCAAACGGATCAGGAAAGAGAGTTAGGAGTCTGAATTCGGATAATGTTTTATTGAGAATTATCCGGTTATCCTTATAGATTATCCGGATTTTGCCCACCTCTAGTTAAACCACTAGGCACAGCGAACAGACCGGGCCCTTGGCCCCAGTGCTGAGTGAGTCAAAGAGGTGGGACCTCCCAATTTAACATCCATCTCCCACAGGACCTTGGCCCCAGTGCTGAGTGAGTCAAAGAGGTGGGACCTCCCAATTTAACATCCATCTCCCACAGGACCTTGGCCCCAGTGCTGAGTGAGTCAAAGAGGTGGGACCTCCCAATTTAACATCCATCTCCCACAGGACCAAGCCAATGGGGTTGAGACCCTTAAATAAAAGCTAAAAAAACCCCCAACTCCAACCACATTGAGGATTCAAACCAGGCCCA